TGATTATGCGACGGGGCGGTTCTTTCACAATCCGCCCCGGACGGGAAGTGGCACCCTGTAGCATTCTATTCCAAAAGCTTAAATGATGTCCAGCGCAACTACGAAATCCACGACAAGGAGATGCTCGCGATCATCCGCGCACTCGAGGAGTATAGACACTTCCTCGAGGGCGCCGCGCCACCCTGTCGAGATTTGGACTGACCATAAGAATTTGGAGTACTTCAGGAAGACGCAACACCTCAACCGGAGACAGGCCCGGTGGTCTCTGTACCTCTCCCGGTTCGACTTCACGCTGCACCACAAGCCTGGCCGCGATATGGGTCGGCCTGACGCCCTCTCCCGGAGACCCGACCACGGAGTCGATTCCGACAACTCCGACGTCGTCCTTCTGCAGCCTGAACTCTTCCACGTCCGCGCACTCGAGGGCGTTTCCGTTTCCGGTCCCGGCTCTGAACTCCTCCGTGACATCCGTGATGCCCTCTCCGGTGAGCCTGACCTGGAGGAGCCCGTCGCACTAGCGGCCCGGCAACTTCTTAAGGTTCAAGGTCAAGCTCGAGGCCCCCGCTCCTCACGTTCTGACGAGTGGGCCGTCTCCGGCGGTCTTCTCCATTTCCGAGGAAAGATCGTCGTACCAAAAGACAAGGACCTCCGGAGACGCATCATCGAGCTCTGCCATGACACCCGAGTCGCCGGACACGCAGGTCGTTTCAAGACCTTGGAGTTGGTCTCCCGGAACTACTGGTGGCCTCAGATGTCTCGCCATATCGGCCGGTATGTTGCGACCTGTGACTTGTGCTGTCGCACCAAGGCACTCCGGAGACTGCCCCACGGAGAGCTGCACCCCACGGAAACGCCCCGAACGCTGGCATACCGTCTCCGTCGACTTCATCGTAGAGCTTCCCGAAGCCCATGGGTACGACGCGATCATGGTCGTCGTTGACACCCTCGGAAAGCGCGCCCACTTCTCAGAGTGTCATACGACGGTCGATGCAGTAGGGGCAGCCCGCCTCTACTACCGGAATGTCTGGCGGCACCATGGGACTCCGGAGAAGTACGTCTCCGACCGCGGCTCGCAGTTCATCGCGGACTTCACCCGAGAACTTTGGCGTCTAATCGGCATCAAGCCCGCCACGTCCACCGTACCACCACCCGCAGACAGACGGTCAGACAGAGCGCGTCAACCAGGAGTTGGAGCAGTACTTGCGGATCTTCACCAACTACCAGCAGGACGACTGGGATGAGCTGATTCCGGCCGCGGAGTTCGCCTACAACAACCACGTTCACTCCTCCACGCAGCAGGTCCCCTTCATGACGGACACGGGACGGCTCCCGCATGGGCTTCAACCCGGAGTCCGTTCCGCCATGGAGTCAGTGAACGAGTTCCGCGACCGGATCGCCACTGGTGTTGCTGAAGCCAAGGCCGCGCTCACTAAGGCCAAAGAGGAGTACAAGCGCTACTACGACCGGAGACGGACTCCGTCTCCGGAGTTTAAGGTTGGCGACCATGTTTGGCTGGATGCCTCTGACATCAGGACGACTCGCCCCTCGGAAAAGTTCTCCCATCACCGCCTTGGACCGTTCAAGATAGTCGCGGAGATCAGCAAAGGTGCCTACAAGCTCGACCTCCCTCCGCGCTACTCGAAGCTCCACCCGGTCTTCCCCGTCATCAAGCTCAAGCTCGCCCAGGACGACCCCTTCGACGGACGCCCCGGCTACGACCAGCCCCCTCCGGACCTCGAGGACGGAGTCCCGGAGTGGGAAGTAGAGGAAATCCTGGACGCAAGGGTGAGGTATAAACGGCTGAACTACTTCGTCAGATGGAAAGGCTACGACGCATCGCACGACCAATGGGTCCGCTTCGACCGCGTCTTCGCCCCGGAGAAAATTGCGGAGTTCTATCGTAAGTACCCTGGCAAGCCACGACACATCGCCTCCGCGACCTTCGACTCGATTCCGTTCCGGTCTATGCGTCGGGACGCCGCATTCAAAGGGGGGGGTGATGTCAGGGGAACCTCCCTTTCGGCCCCTCGGAGACGCCTCCGATTCCGGTCCGACTCGGTTCCGTCTCCGGTCCAGCCCTCCATCTCGCCCGCACAATCACCGATCCGTCAACGCCCTCCCGACGGTCGCCCTGGGACCTCGCCTGCGACGCCGCCCAAGCCTTCTGTGCCCGACAGCGGCAGCTACGGACAAGCAGTATATAGTCAGCTACCTAGCAGGCGGACCCTTAGAGTTTCTTCTCTTTGGATCCTCCCCTGCTAGGTCAGCTTCATTTGTATTCGCTTACCAATGTTCACGCTTTGGATCCTCCCCTGCTAGGACCTTGATCTCAGGCCTCCGGGGTTGCCCTTACAGTCCTGTGCCATACCTTGTCCCAAGTGGAATATAGTTATCATCACTGTCCCTTGAATTGGTATCACAGTCGGACTCACTTTCAGACTCTGACAAGTCTGGATTGGGGATTTGCTCCTCTGTCTCAGTTTCTAAGTCCTCAGCATCAGCAGTTCCTCGATTTGCTGCTATATCTGCCTCAGCTATAGCTTGTATGGGCTTTTGCTTCTTTTTAGCCATGGTTTCTTGTTTCTTCTCAGCTGCTTTTTGGCATGCTGTCAATCATGCAGACTTGGCTTTAGCAGCCATGTCATCATGGAATTGGCGCCGATTAGGATGGAGATGATGGACCTTGTAAAGAGCCACAGGGAGAGTGCACATAAGCTCCACAAAGTTGTGTGTAGAGTCCAGATTGAGCACAAAGTTATCATCATTGCTGTGTTTGATAAAGCGAAGTGTTGCGATCAGTTTCTTCATGCTCTTGTCGCTCCTTGCCGACCACAGAGGGGCTGACAGCAACTGCGTCGACAGTCATGTTGGATAGAGCAGGCAAACTTGAGCTGTGACCCAGGAATGACAAGATAAGAAGTCATATTCTGCTCCAAGGGGGGTTCAAGATCCTTATCAGGCACATGGGGTAGGGGGGAGGGGGGGGGTCCCTGGGGGGTAAAAAAAACTTTTTGTATATAAAAGATTTGGGCCTTATATGGGTATAAAGACACTGAAAATATAGTGTATACCTTCTAATTTCTATAGTTCAGCACTCTCATTACTTATATCTATATACTTTCAGGCCCATGCACTTGGATAGCCCACTCTGTCAGAGGCCCATGCATCAGGTAATTGATGAGAGGTGAACATGTTGGAGGGTTAATATGGCCTTCCATGTGTGTGTTGGAAGGCTCTAGGTACATACATACCTACACATATACACATACACATGTTTTGTAAAAAAATTTCACAAAGATTGAATTTTTTATCCCACTTTTTGATCGCATCAGTGGTCACATGACGCTGATCGTGAGAATATATTACTATATATGGCAGGAGGGGGGGAGGGGGGGGGTCCCGGGGGGGTTGGAAAAAAACTTTCCGACCCTATATCCGTGATTCGAACTTTGAACCCCCCTTGTTCTGCTCCATGATTTCTGCCCCCAATGACGGGCAAATAACTGGCCAGTCAAAATCAGGATGATGTTTGTCAGTGCAGACAAACGCTGCAGAGTCACCCACAAGCAACCATTGGCTGCGCAAATGATCTCCATCACCCATCCGAGCACCAAACCCATGTTTCGGCCATCTTGTGCATATACCCAGGTTTGAACTTTTGCTTGATCTCCCATCTGTGTAGTAACGAAAAGGCCGTGTCACCATTCACCAGCAAGTGGAGGTGCATGCAGAAGCCAGTATTTTGCTGCCATGGTACTGGCCAAGCAACGGGTGGGCTTTTATCTGCAGAAAGCAAGTAAACAAATCCAGGGGCGGGGTCTGGGTGTGTCGCCCAACCAAGATGTTTCTGCAAGATGGGTCATCGAGTAGCAGCCGCTCAACTCGCTCTCCGGGCTGTAGCCATTTCTAAGTATCAATATTATCTGGCTCGCAAGACCGTGCCTCCCAGAAACCTCTGCCAAGGGCATGCTTCATATTTTTCATGCTTGCAAATCTGTTCGCAATGTCTCGAGAGGGCTTGATTGTTCCCATTGATCGAACACATTCTGAATATGGCGTTATAAGACTCCTGCGTCTCAGTGGAGAATCACACAGTGGGGGCGAAGCGTCGAATATCATTAGGGAGATGAGGAAGCAGATTGTGACTGACGAAAAATTTCATTGCACGGAGCTCACGGCCCTGCAGGGCCGCTCCGCCTGGGGATGGCATCAGCCGGGCCATTTTGTCAGTCCTGTCTGCACCCTGTAACTGATTAAAAAATTTCGTCGGATCAGCTGGGGTGTGACACGTGACCGATGAATTGAATAAAATAGTACAGTATATATATATTCATGCAAAGTTTGTCCAAAATGGCAATTTCTGCACCGTTTTTGATCCCATCATTGGTCACCTGATTCAAGATCTTATCTTATCGTGGGAATATATTACCCGATATAGTAAGGGAGGGGTCCTGGAGGGTTGAAAAAAAAAATCCAACCCTATATCCAGGATTCAAATCTTGAACCCCCCTTGCTCAGCAATATAACTCTCCATGTTGTCAATGACAGGGATCCAAACCCGGGAGCCCAAATCAGCGGCAGCTTTGACAAACCGAAACTGTTCCGGTACATAAGTCGTGGACATAAAACACGAGCACTTGCATCATCGTTTTGGCCGAATTTCATGTGAACTATCACCCGGTTAGGAAATTGAAATTTTTGGCCCAATTGGGACACTTTGGGACCAAAAAGTCAGCTGCTGGCAGAATTGAATGAAATGGGTCAGTAATACTCAGTATTTAATTAGCCAGTATCCACATCATGATGAAGATAATAATCATAAATATGATGCTTCAAGTTCATATGTATGATATAATTGCACTTCAAGTTGCCTGTCTATGCTCCAGAAAAAAGGATTCGCCCAGTGGAAGAAACATGGCCGACCCTCGCTTCGAACGAGGCAGCGCAAGTACGGGCAGAGAGGCGCAACCCGCACACCGCCGTCGGGTGTCGTGCAAATCTCATTTCATGTGTTGCCTGGAATTTAGGTCCACATAACGGCTTCCAGCTGCCAGACGGCCAGTTTCTGAATTAACCGTGCCTTGACGCTCTATTGCGTCCCACAACAATTCGTTCAACCCTCGTGTGTGCGCACCGAGCTTGGCGACGATCGGCAGCGGGCTTGCCGCAGAAAGTGCGTCTGCGAGCCAGTTTGCGTCGGCATAGATCCCGACGGCGAGCACAAGGGTGCGCAGTTGCGGGAGCAGGGCGTGGATTTCCGACACGGTGCGGAGGATTGGGTCCACGTCGAGAACAGGGCACGGGACGGTGAGGTGGGTGAGTTTGCGGAGGTGCGGCTTGTTGGCGGTGAGGAAGGCCGGGAGTGCGGCCACCGGCACGTCGATGAACGGGTTGTCGGCGTCGGAGCAGAGCAAAGTGAGATGTGTGACGCTGTCCAGGAAGTGGAACGGGGTAGAGAGCTCGGGAAGGCGCAACGTGACGCGCACGGGCCTGCTCGTCGACAGGCCGTTCACCAGCGCCTTCCGCAGATCCGGGGTGAGCGCGTCGAGGTCCAGGTCGACGACCAGAGACCGCAAAGGATGGTTACGACAATGGAGCATGAAGAGCAGTATCTGCTTCGCTGTCCAGACATCGGCTTCTGGTACGTGTATGCTGGGCTGGACAGCATCGAGATGGATCGCTTCGGTGCAGCCATGCAGCATGATGGCGCCGCAGTCCACCGCCCGCGCAAGGGAGCGGTCCTTCAATCCATTTGCCGCATTCAGGGTGATGTGGACGGACCGAAAAAGAGTAGGAACAAGCCTGGAGAGCATCAACCTCTCGGCAATCAGTGGGCCAGCCTGAGGGGCACTCACTGCTCGTAGACGCGGCGGCATAGGCGGATTAGCGTGGGGGTGGTGGAGGGATAGTGCTCTGCACAACTGCGTAGGATGCGGTCCACGATGGTGGAGGGTAAAACGGGAATCTGACGCGGATGCGGTTCGGAGAGTCGATATTCTTCTGCGGTCGCCATCGGGTAGGGAGTGGATGGCGTCACGAGGTACACGGAAGCTGAATACGCACTCAGAAAGCGAGTGAAAGAAGAACGAAGCTCACCCTCTACTTCCCCGCGCCTCTTCCGCTGCACAAAGTCGCTCGCCTGTGTCCAGAAATCATAGTCAACAGGGAAGAAATCCACGCGTGGCTGTGGCTCTCTATCCATGCTTTCGCGCATCGCGACCAGCCGGGCATCATGCACGTGCACGAAGTCCGCATCGGTAAGGCCCCGCGACTCCGCAACGCCGAGTAAAATCAGCGTCTCGAGCGCCGGAGACGCGCCGAGGACTGTAGTCAGCAACACGATTGGGGTGTCCGCGAACACGGCTAGATGCCGCAGCCGGGGCAGGTGGCTTAGCGCACGGATGTTGGCGGAGAGTGAGCCGGACTCCCGGCCCAGCGACGAGGCGATGAATAAATGTGTGAGCGATGAGGACAGGGGCAGCGTGGCTAGTGTGCGCATGTCGGTCGGCCCGTCGCATATCAGATGGAGCCGCTGTGGACGCCAGGCAGCCAAGCACCCCCGGAGATCGATTTTGGGGTTCGTTTCGTGGAGGTTGGCGATCAGCACGAGTGTCTCGACGCCAGTGCACGCCTTCAGCACCCGGCTGACCTCATCATACCGCCAGGCATTCGGCCCGGGACGCGCGCCCATGAACAGCCAGAAGCTGGGAAACAGGAAGAAAGTGCGAACAGCCTTGTGGAAAAACTCCGGCTGCTTGGTGCCCGCGTTGAGGTGGCGGAGAACAAGCGCGGCGACGCCGGTCCGCTCGTTGAGCTCAGATATGCTGACGGTGTGGTATATGAGTGGCTCGACCCTACAGTAAATGTGTGAGGTCGATAGGATAGAGTGCAGCAGACGCACCATGTCCACACGCGGCGGGCGACAAAGGCCACGCGACGAATACTCTCCGGGTACGCCAAGACAGTTACTTCGAAGATCTGTTGCTCGAGCTCGGGCGGAAAACGAGGCGTCAGAGTATCCTGCGAGACGATGCTCATCGTGGAGGGAAGGAAAGCAGTCACTAGGCTACGCCGCAGGCCGCAGCATTAAGAACAGTCGAGGCGGCAGCCGCGCAGCGACGGCGGGAAACAACAAGGAAACAGCCTGGAAACGGTTGCCATGCATGTGATATCGTTCACACGCTGTCGTGATTTCATCAGATTGCTTGCAAGTCCCACGGATGAGCATTTAATTCCCTTGCGCATGGACAGAAGCAATAAATCGTGGAAATTGTCGAGTGGCACTTTCCGTTTTATATACAAAACAAACACAAAATACACCCGTTACAAGTAGTAGACCAATTACTAACAGTGATCAACTATGATACATCACGTCATCTGATCCGCGGCTGCTGACAAACGGATTTTTTTCTTCGAATCAACCACCATGTCGATCGTCCATCCATCGAGACCGGCATGGCGGCTGCGGCCGCATCCTGCGTCGCCGCTCGTGCGTCAAGTATGTCACCTACATGGCTCCACCGACTGCGTTGATTCGGCCCTGGAGCTGCATCACATAGCGGGGAGCTGGAGAGAGGAGGAGCGGGCGGCTCATCCGCGATGGACATGGGATATGGTGCATACGTGCGTTGACTCTCCCTCTCGGTTGCGCCCTCTAGCGATAGCAAACTTCATCAGATGCTCATCGGCGGACCATTCTTGCACAGACTCGTGTCGCTTCGTGGGTGCCTACTTCAGATAGGACTACGACGGGCTGATGCGGTACAGCTACCCGACCTATCGGTCACTCAGCTCACCCTCCAAGAACAGATCGCACACTTCCACGGCGCTGAGATGTGGAATACGCATTGGCAGCGTGTCCCGGATTTCTCTCTGGATCACATCGGAGAGTTGTCAAGCCAGCTAACGGCGGCGCAGAGTACGTTCCAGTCACCGGTGGATGCTCTGCCTCCTGATATGCCCCAGGGGCGCTGGTTCAATCCAGCCTTGCCAAAATACAAGCTGCCTTCGAGCGCATGGAAGTTGCCGGGTATTTTAGACGAGTAGCAGGTGCGCCATCGCATTCGTGTCGCGAGGGTAGCACTGCTGACTTCTATGCTAGCTTTCTATGACAAGCTGCTCTCGATGGGTCTCCCCCGTCCGCAAGTTTCATTCGGCGCGGGCTTTAGTGGCTACGACCGCCTTGACGAGCGTGGGTATGACCGTGCAGGGTATACAGCGACGGAGGATCACGCCATAGACCAATGGGAACACCGCACGAGCTACCAGGTTGCATATTTCCTTGCTCTTGGCCGCATATTCAAGGTGCCCTACCCTCACCTTTGCTAATACTTATTGCGCCGCTTATGCCACGCCAGCTTCCCGCTGGCCACCTCATCGCCTACGATCCGTGCTATTCGGTCGTCGACGTCGTCATCCTCGCGACGCTGGGAATACGAGCTTTAACCCGGACCGACCCGGGCGTAGGTCGGTGGTTGATATTCACCGCAGACTATCTCATCTTTTGAAGCGACCGTACCTCCGGAAGTTCACCGTCCCGACGGTGTTCTATGCGCCCGGCGCAGAACAGACCACCATCGGGGACGCCATACTCCGCACGCCGGCCATCTCCGACCTCCTCATTGAATGCGCGGACGTCGCGTGGTGCTTGGCCGACTCAGATATTCCGGACCAACGGCTGCATTATCCTGGCACTATCATCCAGCATTATGGTGCGGCCATCCCTTTTATGCGGCTATCCTCTGAATCCTGTCGCATAGTTGCAAACTACGTCAAGCATTCTGTGCCGAGCTTCGCCATCGGGATGGCTCCGGACATGCAAGCGGAGGCGCCGTGTGGAGAGGAGCACATGGTGCAGTGGGTGCCAGCCGCAAAACGTACCACGTTTGAGGCTGCGCGGGGCGGAGCGAGGGACCCCAAGCCCCGGCAGGTGCGTTTCCTTTGCTACCTTGACCCTTCTGCAACTCAGTCAACATTTGTCGGGCCAGCTGATCATGCCTGACGGGACTTTCCAGCTTGATGATTGAGGGTCCCGAATATGGCTCGACACACTAGCTCAAAGAGTTGTCAAAGAGGAAAACAAAAGTGAATGGCAGACGTCACGGAATGGGAAGCGTGCGAATTTATCCAATCAGTGGGCATTTTACGTTCCTCCCATCATGCTGCACGCCAGACTAAGACGTGAAGCATGTTCCAAGCGTAACGCTTCAATTCATCAAGCGTGGATCATTCAATGCTGAATGTCGATATAAAGGGCAGTCGTTTGGAGCGTGGGCCGGAAATGCGCCAACTTCTCGCGTCAGCTGTGAGCCTGATTGCCTCTATCAGTCTCCCGACCCTTGTTCGGTCATCGGGCGACTCCGGCGAGATCCAGGCCGTCGGCGTCCACATTCTCACGGGCCCTCCGACGAACACAGGCACCTTCGACGATGAGCGGTGCTCCTCGGATCAAGTCGCCAACATCCGCAATGGGATCATCGAGGCACAAGAGATGGCCGACGCGGCGATCGAGCTGCTTAAACCGAAGGACATGAACAAGAGCAACGGCTTCTTCTGGATCTTCGGGGGCTCTACCGTCGACCCCGCCTTCATCATCAAACACTTCACGTTCGTGAAAAAGCTCGGTACACCGGACGAAATACGCGCCACGGGCAAGTTCGAAGGCAGCCGAACCGACTTGATTTTCACGTGTATCCCGGCAAGGCTACCTAAAGCCGCCGCTGTTTACGCTAACACAATCAGCGTCGGCCGGCGGATGCCGAGCACCGGCGGCGTCCCGGTGCTCAATCTCATCAGACTATCCCCTGTAGCGCTCGCAGTGCGTGGGATCAACAAATCTCCCCCATCGCGTGCCACTGACAAAGTATTCAGAACCCGGAGTCGTATTCCACCGCCGCGTCTCGGATCCGCGGCTCGGGTAACATCAAGGACGGCTTCCCGCTCGTCGATTTTGGTGCGCTCGGCAAGAAGCCTGTGCCGCCACTCGCGTTCACCATCATCCACGAGGTCCAGCACTCAGATCCGCTGGCGGACGACCCCATCCTCGACCACCTCGTCGACGTCCGCGGCTCCAGCGGAAATCGGGCCTACGGCTTCACGCAGATCATGCACGAGCTCACGGTCGACGAAAAGCGGCGAAATCCGCAGAACTACGCGTTCTTCGCCCTGTTGGTATGTGCCCACGGAATGTCTAGTCGTAGAGTATCAACTAATCGTGCGATTATTAGGCGCAATCGAACCCCGAGATCTTCGCGCCGGACTGCTATTTTGGTGATGCGCCATTGAGCTTGACGCCGATAGCGGGGCAGCGGGACGGCGAAACTGAACAGCCGCTAAGCGTCCCGGAACCGGAGCCAGCGCCAGAGACATGCGGTGCCAAGGTCCCCGGCGCCTGCGACGCGTGTAAGAAGATCATCAAAGGAATCCCGGGGGACGTGATGCTGGATGATTTTGATCCTGAGTCTGCGTAATTCACGGAGCTGGGTAGGATGTAGAGTTTCGTCGATAGCGTCACTTTCTTTTTAATGATTGTCTGGGGGGGGTACTTCTTCAATTAACCATATAGTGCAGTCAACAAAAATTATTAGCAGCGTCATGATTCAAGGGGGGTTCAAGATCCTTATCAGGCACATGGGGTAGGGGGGAGGGGGGGGGTCCCTGGGGGGTAAAAAAAACTTTTTGTATATAAAAGATTTGGGCCTTATATGGGTATAAAGACACTGAAAATATAGTGTATACCTTCTAATTTCTATAGTTCAGCACTCTCATTACTTATATCTATATACTTTCAGGCCCATGCACTTGGATAGCCCACTCTGTCAGAGGCCCATGCATCAGGTAATTGATGAGAGGTGAACATGTTGGAGGGTTAATATGGCCTTCCATGTGTGTGTTGGAAGGCTCTAGGTACATACATACCTACACATATACACATACACATGTTTTGTAAAAAAATTTCACAAAGATTGAATTTTTTATCCCACTTTTTGATCGCATCAGTGGTCACATGACGCTGATCGTGAGAATATATTACTATATATGGCAGGAGGGGGGGGGGGGTCCCGGGGGGGTTGGAAAAAAACTTTCCGACCCTATATCCGTGATTCGAACTTTGAACCCCCCTTGTCATGATTGCAATATAATTATATTTGTCTGAGGCCATAAGATATTATAATCATATTCAGTGGCAGAATATGAATATGTTATGAATGTATTCCACAATAATCTAGTATGCTATCTCTGGATATAGTATTTGACATTTTTGTAAGGGCTGTCAGGGAAACCGCTGCTTCAGCCTCCCTCGGACTGTCAGAACACATCCAAGGCATGCCGCATGTCCAACAGGCACCCCCTCAGACACTCTGGTGCACCCTGACCATCGTCCACAGCCTCCTTCGGGTGCGACTCCCGCATGTTCTATTTTCATTGGGTGTTGGAATTGATCAAAATCTACAGCCACATCACTTGATCACCACAGCCTCTCAAGCTCCAAGCTCCCAGAACACATGCTCCGCTGACAGAAGCCCAATCAGCGAATCAGGGCCTAGTTTTTATTGGGGTGTTTTGAAACCGGTTTTAAAACACCCCTGACCTTCTCACAGAATGCCCTGTTTTTAATGTTTGTAAAAGTAAGCACCACAAGGGAGATGAGACCAAAGAACAGTACTTTTGACAATGTTCATTCCCAAATCCAAACTAATTGCCCTGAGTTTGATTGAATGTCAAAGATTTCACCATGTTAAACAGGCAGAGTGCTATTGATATGATTAAATAACCATTAGAACCATTAAAATTTGACACGTGATAAAAAACAACCTTTGGATAGTATCTTGCAGGCTAATATAGGGCACCCTGGATGCTAAAGCAGACATTCTGGGCAAAACCTATCCCAAAATGGTAAATTTGGTTCGTTTTGGCTATCTCAGCTGAGGTGTTTATAAACTTAAAAAACCGTTTAAAAACAGGGGTCTCAAGAGGTTTTTTATAAAAACAGGTTTGATAACCGAGTAAATTTTTCAAAAAACCAGGCCCTACAGCGAATTCTCGCAACATTGGGCTGAGTGCACTGTGTACCTCGTACTACCTCCTATGCAAACCTCCTAGCACATGCCTCCAAGCACAACCCACTAACCTCCCGATCTGACTTTACAATGATAAGAAATGTCATAGTATAGGGATGGGTCAGGGGAGAAAATTTGAGATTTGGGATCTGCACAACACCTGACGGCGGTGTGCTGGTGGCGCTTCTCTGCCCGTATGTGTGCTGCCTCGTTCGAAGCGAGGGTCGGGTATCCTCCGTGAATCTTTGAATTCTTTTTTCTAAAGCATAAGGAGGCAAGTACAATTATATCGTACATATGAAGTTCTTATGAACTTGAAGCATCATATGAGCATCATGTGGATACACCGGTGGCTTAGTCGCGACCAGGCAGAAAGTGGCATTAATAGCCTGCTTCTGTGGAGGTTCGAACGCACGCGATACGGGTTGGATCAATGTGGTTGCCAAGGGCACTGGCATCATGATCCTCGTCATTCACATGCTGCGTCACTGCCACCTCACTCCTTGACCTCCTCGTTCATCGCCGTCGCCAAGAGTTCGCGTCGATGGACACCGAGCGTTCCGACACTGCGGTGCGCGCGGAAAGTCGGCATGCCGCAGCTCAGCACCCCAATTGAACCCGACCGCTTAACTCGGCGCTCATCTGCCAATCCAGGCCCCAGGGAGATGCCAACGCGGTGTTTCGAGGATAGTGGGATATCGATTCTCCCTTCGAAGTCGCTTCACCACAATGGGACTTGGTGGAACATGGCCTTCCACTTCCGTATGCAGTCGCCTGGTTAGCCCAAAGATGGAAGGAACGGGGACCTGGCGCCAGGCGGGGACCCGAGTTAATTCGCTTCAAATGGGCTGTCCGCTGAGATTTTCGCTGGTAACATGTCGCGCTTGCTTGATTCAGTCATTCATTTCTTGACAGACCCAATTATGGCTCCGGCCTCCAAGGACAGACTGACCTATATAAGCTCTCGACCGATGCCCCTTCATCCCAGGCGCTTCCTCATTTCTCTTCGGCCCTCCCCAACCTTCTCCCCACTCTTCTTGTGCTGCGCACATCTAATTTTTTTCCATTTCCATACCTATTCACGTCCCACCCGATGCAGCTCACGCCCGCCGCTTTGTTCCTCGTCTCCCTCGTGTTCTCCGCCCGCGGCTCGCCCATTCCGTCGTCGGACATCGTCGCACGCACTGGTCTCAAATTCCATGTCCTCGCAGGCACTCCCCCAGCTACGCTCACCGGCTCGTTCGACGATGAGAAGTGCAGCCCCGCCCAGGTTGCCGCCATCAAGGCGGGAATCGTCGATGCGAAGAAGATGGCTACGGTCGCAATCAACCTGCTGAAGCCGAAGGACATGAGCAAGAGTAACGGCTTCTTCTGGATTTGGGGTGCGTCTTACTAGGTGCGACCGAGCTTTTTTCTGACATGATACTCGAGGTGGGGCCAGTGCTGCAACGCCGGCTGAAATCACGAAGCATTACAACTTTGTCAACAAACTCTCCGAGCCCGCTGAGATCACGTCGACAGCAGCTTTTGCCAACAGCAAGACGGACCTTATCTTCACGTGTATACCGCCGAACGCTCCTAAATCAGCCGACGCGTATGCGAATACTGTCAACGTCGGCCGCAAGACGGCCAGCTCAGCAACAGTGCCAACACTCAACCTCATCCGGCTCACACAGAACAGTCTTGCGGTATGTATAGCTTATTTGAATTCTGACAAATACTCAGTGTTGAACAGAACACGGAGTCGTTCGTTGCCTCTGCTGCACGTGTCAAGACCAGTGGGGACATCAAACAAGCATTCCCCGAGACTGCTGGTGTCCCGACGCCGCCGCTCGCGTTTACGCTTGTCCACGAGGTACAGCACGCGGACCCGCTGATGGACAACGCGGAGCTTGACCATCTCGTCGACTTCAAGGGTCTCGACGGAAGGCGTGCCTACGGCTTCCAGCAGATCCAACACCAGTTGACGGCACAGACGAAGAAGCTGAACCCGCAGAACTACGCCTACTTCGCGCTGCTTGTGGGTACCCGCTGACCTTTCTTGTGATCGTTACCTGACTTGCAATTGTCCAGGCCGAGTCCAACCCCGAGTTCTTCGCACCGGACTGCTTCATCGGCGACGCGGTGCTCAGTGCGCGTGAACTCGAAGCCGCGCCGGTCCCTGATGTCTTCAAATTCGATGGCGTGCTTGCTGATCACGACCATGAGCACGACGAAGACAACGCGGAAGACATCACCGACGATGCTGAAGAGGACGCGGGACCAACGCTAATGGGTCGCCTTGTGCAGGCGCTCCAGGCCCGAGTGACGACTAAAGCGCCGGTGGCTGCAAAGCCTGTTGCGGCAAAGCCTGTTGCTGCTAAACCTGTCGCCGCTAAGCCCGTCGCCGCTAAGCCCGTCGCCGCTAAGCCCGTCGCCGCTAAGCCCGTCGCGGCGAAGCCCGTGGCCGCGAAACCGGCCGCGAAACCGGCGCCAGCTCCAGTCAAGCCCGCGACCCCGGTCAAGCCCGCGACGCCTGTGAAAGCCCCTGCACCGCCAGCCAAGGTGTTTGTTCCTCCTGCCAAAGCCGTGCCAGCCGCACCTGCAAAGGCGTCCGCCTCATCGACGAAGTGCAACACCACGGTGAAGGGTGCGTGTGCGGCATGCCAGAAGATCATCAAGGGCATTGCGGGGGGACATATTGTTGTCTGATTTCGACACGAATTCGTCATGAGTACTAGTAGATTTATCGCAATGCATTAATTTGGAACAAAGTTGCATTCCATCATCCAGCATCATCATTCTCATGTCCAGAATCATGGGTCCTGTCTACTGACTCTACAGTCTGCTCCACAGAAGGACACAAAAATCGTGAATTTACGTTCGCTGGGTCTCGAACTCACGGTCGCCCGATCACTTTCTGAAACAAAAAGTGACGTCACACTTCTTCTTTCTTTTGCCTCTTACACCGACGGTGACTTCATGGCTACACTACCCATGAGAGCGCTCATTGTTCACGAAGGTGCCGTCCAACGACATGACATACGAAGCAAAGCCTGGATAACAGCAAACAGGCCGGTGGTATCACTGGTGCAGACGGTCACGTTTGGTGGAGTAACGAGTACCAGTGCATTCCGCCCGTATGCGGCACGGCGAGCCTCTTGCCGTTCTGCGCCGGACGCCAGACGCATGTCAGTGTGGGGTAGGAGAATGTATGGTGGTGCAGGAATCATTCCCCTGTCCCTCCGCCCGTCGGCTCATGGGACTTAGAAGACTCGGAATTTGGGGTATATAAACCATGCGCGGGGAAGGCGAGTGCTTTGCTTATCTTGTGAGTGTTTACCAGCTGTAAAGTAGACGATGCGCACAATCGCCCACTCAGTCGTCACCTTCCTGCTCTCTTTCTCCCTCCCCTCCCCTCCCCTCTCCACAAGCCCGTCGCTCGACCTCTCCTCGCTCGGCTTGTCCTCAGTCAACATCGACTCGTCGATTCAGGCAGTCAGCGTCCACATTCTCGCGGGCACACCGCCGGACCCGCCCAACGGCAACTTCGACGATGAAAAGTGCAGCCCCGCGCAGGTGACTGCGATCCGCAACGGCATCGCCGACGCGCGCAACATGGCGGCCGGTGCAATCGAGCTGCTGAAACCGAAGGACATGAAGAAGAGCAACGGCTTCTTCTGGATATTCGGTGCGTGGCTTCCTTCTGCTAAGTTGTTGTAGTATAACTGATATGGCATGTCAGGTGGGTCCACGGTCGACCCCGCGGTCATCGCCAAGCACTTCTCATTTGTGCTGAGGCTCGGCACGGCTAACGAGATCATGTCGACCGAAGATTACAAAAACAGTAAGACGGACCTCATCTTCACGTGCATTCCCCCGACAGCGCCGAAGGCTACCTCTGTGTATGCGAACACGCAGAACATCGGCCGACAGAAGTCGGTGCTCAATCTCATCCGACTGTCGCCCCTGGGACTTGCGGTATGCAGCGCTCGGCTTCCCACGGTCGTATATTTCTCATCTTCATTAGAACACGGAATCGTACACCGTCGCTGCAGCGCGCGTGAAGGCGTTGGGCAAGATCGAGGCCGGCTTCCCCAACAAACAAGTCGGCACGGTTAGCGGCCCTGTCCCGCCCATCGCGTTCACAATCGTACATGAGGTGCAACACGCTCATCCGCTGATGGATGACCCCGGAAGGGATTTCCTGGTGGATGAGAAGGTCCTCGACGCCCAAGGTGTCCTCCGGCGCGCATATGGCTTCCAGCAGATCATGCAGCTAGACCTTCCAAAGAAGCAGAGGAACCCGCAGAACTTCGCGTTTTTTGCGATGCTCGCAGCCTCCAACCCCGAGATCTTTGCGCCGAACTGCTTCATCGGCCCGGCACCGCTCGGCCCGGCGCCGCTGATCGCCGGCCGTGCTTGGGTGCAGAAGCCGCTCGGGCCGGACACGTGTCGCGCTACGGTCCCTGGCGCTTGTGCGGCGTGTAAGAAGATCATTAAGGGCATTCCTGGAGACGTCAAGCTGCCCAACTTCGAGCCCGACTCAATGTAATAGATACTAAGCAGTAAGTCTGCCTAGGTATGTGTAGTATTATGCGCGCACAAGAAAGGGAGCTCTTGACACAACCAAATGCTGAATGTACACTTACAACGTAGCTATAAATTTTTAGTATAAAAGCACTTTTTGTTTTCTATATATCAGGCTTTTTTGATCCGCGCCCTATCAGTTGATAACAGCAATAAGTAGTATATAATGATGATTATTCTGCTAAGTTACTGGATCGGATTGGATCATATCGTAACCACGGCAACGCGCGCAGATCCGCGTCGAGGATGATCTTCACTTCTGCCCGGTCTTCTCCACGATGACTTGCGCGAATCGGAACTGGTGCCAGCTTGAGGGCGGCGATTTTCCGCATGTGCCTGCAGGCGGTCGCTTGTGCCTCACCGCGGCGCCGCGCTGATTGTTTGCACCACCCGCGAAAGCGCTAATCCGGCCCGCTGCCGCACCCCCACGCTAAGTGCAACACAACGGTGAAGAACGCCTGCGCCGCGTGCGAGAAGATCATCAAGGGCATCCGAACGGGCGACATCGCCCTCGCAGACTTTGACTCCAACTCGTCATAAGCGTAGTCCATCTCGAAGAATATCAGTCTATTGCAACTGCGTCGAGCCATTGCGACGCACCAGGCCAACCCCTTTGCCCCAGTCCCGGCTCCCCTTGCATCGTCGGCAAACGCGTTCGTGCGATGTGTGTGTGAGAAAAAAACTTCCTGAGGCTGTGTGGGAAGACGCCTCGGCCCTCGGCGCCGATGCCGGATTCTTGTCAGTGCTTCTTTTTCATCAACCACCACGACCCTCGCCTTCAAGACTCGAACCCACTACTGCCAGGCAACTCTCAGTTCGCCGCTCTTTCCGCCCACGAGCCACCCAAACTCAGCCTCTTCCGCAACTCTTCCGCCCGAATCTGCGCCACATGTCAGCGAAGGCCTGAGGGTCACTTTCAGTACCGCATTGCCCTCAACGAGTTTGGTCGCGTTTAGGGGCCGATCTGAGTGTGAATCGGCACGCAGGTGCGGTGTCACATTGGTCTCAAAGTCTGCATCCTCTTGCGCGAGACGGCGTAGCGGTTGGACCACAGCGCGGGGACGACCGACTTGACGCGGAATGGATGGTGCTCACGAGCCTCCCAGGATAACTGGCATATCTTGCTCGTTTCCCTTCGGCGCTTTCGCGGCCACCCATGCTAACCTCAAACAGGAGCGGAAAAGGCTCGGAATAGAGCTTGGATTTATTAAGGAACGCAGGACTAGAGTAGGGGATGTCAGGTGCGCAAGCAACCATACTCATTTATGACGATGCTAACCGGTGGCGATAAAGCATAAAAAAAGAGTTTATATCATTAAAGAACGGCTGCACTGCGGCGTCCCGGCCTCCCAAAGTAAGTAACTAACACTGGCTATAGACAAGAATGATTAAAAAGTAGAGACACGGGCATTTTTTTGCGTTGCGTCGTCTAGAGCCTGAAAGGCACGCGGAGCTTGGTCGTCTGGAAGTCGCGGCCGATGCGGTCCGCGCCAGTAACGGCCTTGACACCAAAGCTGAATCGCTGCTCGAGGATGGGGCGCTCGATGCGCTGGAAGACGCTGCTGGCCTCGGGAGCTGGGCCCGTCTTCGGGTCGCCCTCCATCATAATGGTGACGCGGCCCGTGGTGAGCTCTGCGAATGCGGCGCTGGCGTTGTCCCAGAAGTCTTCGACGAACTTGTTTGCCTCAACAGCGGTGAGTTTCGTAACCGGCGCATTCGGACCGTTGATTAGTCGCAGGGCGTCATCAGAGAGCATCTCCCCGACGATGTCAAAGTCGTTTTTCGCGGCGACGTCGAGAGCAACAGAGCGCAGGCGGCGAGCATCGGTAGCTTGGACCTGTGAGCCAGTCCAGAAGAACGCCTGCAACATGTCAGATATCCCGACCGAGGCGGAAGGCGAATACAGACCTTGTCTTTCCTGGGTGCCTTAATAAGGCCCTTGTTGATGAACTCCTGGGGAGTGGGCACTTTGAGGGCGGCACGCGCCTCGAGGCCAGACCCACGAGCATCAAGCTCAATGGACAGGCCCTCTGCGACGACGTCCGAAGGAATCGGGGCAGCAGCCGCGAGCGAGGCGAAGGACGCAAGCGCGGCAACGGCGAAAGTGAAGAACTTCATTTTGCAGCAAAGATGTCGATGCTAAGCTCCAGTCAGCGCAAACGTCGGGTTGATGAAGACGACGCACAAGAAGAGGAATAAGGGTACGCTGAACGCGGTAGTAGAAGGTGAAGGCTGGGGGCTGAAGGCAAGGAAGGTGGCGAGAAGTCGAGCACGGCTGGAGAACTCTCTTCGTTGGCCACGCACTATATATACGGTGAGCGATCTGGGCTACCCATCAGCAAACACTCAAGACCGAATCCCTATAGTAATCGCGCAGGGACGACGGATATCAACACAAGCAAGACGACTGATGTGAAGATGGAGGCATCACCGGTGCAAGATTTTTTTCGTCGACAATGCAAGTGTCTGGGCGAATCCCTAGGTTTCACGCGTCTCGCGGGATTGCCGTCGCGCACATCAGCAAGAAGCACGGCGGAACACCAGTCGTTTTGCCGACTATCCGCGGAGCGGAGATCCGCGGCATCTACTGGTCGAAAGCCTGCGCGAGCAGCGAGAGACAAGCCGGCTAGCGCTCTAGTAGCATTGGTGCCGCAACCCAAAACCCTCTTGCGAAGGCTGGTCGGAAGATGCGCGACATCTGGCACTTTCTGCCAGTGTTGAGGCGCTCCGAGCCGCTTTCTGTCAAGCCACTCACCCGGTCTGAAGATCATCGTCCCTCAAACACCGAAACATACATTCACCTTTCTTTGCCGCGTCAACCTTCAAGCCGCCCCCATCTGAATGTCGTTCTATGGCATCGAGTTTCCCCGAATACCCTCCCAAGACCTATGCCTCCCCCTCTCGCTTACTCTGCTGAAACTCGAATCCGGCCGCGCTTACAGACCGACATTATGCCCCTCGGGATGCGTTGCTAGGATCCTGTCTAATCTTAAGTCCAGACTCCGCAAGCACCGACCACACTGCATCCCACTCTTTGAACGGCACCGTCACAGACAAGTGTTGTCGTTATCCACGGAACCCCTCCAGCGTCCCTCCTCCTACCGCCGTCCTCTATTGTCTTCCCCCACTTTTCTCCGATCCACGGCCTTGACAGCGAAACGCCGTGCAACCGCTCGCACGTGCCGGGTGTTTTGGGTATGCCGGCAGTTTGACAACAGACGCGTGCCCTCCGGAGATATGAAGCGTTAGCAGACAGCGATGAGATAGGGAGTTATCAGACGGAGACGATGGCGGCTATACCGAGGGTGCCTGGACTCCTACAGTCAAGACCGAGCGATTGTCAACATCTTCTGCAAAATGTCCTGGGCAGACTGATGGGTTTCGCCCAGGGTAACTTCAAGTTCAAGGCAACTTCTGGGATTCGGGTTGTTGCATTCATCGACGCCCCAGCCTGCCGAGCAGTTGGTATGGTCCGCATTCATTGTTACAATGTGTGGCGCACGCGTCAGGAACTTGAACCTTGGCCGATCCCATTGAATGGGACCCATTCATCCCGCACGCGATTGCGGTTGGAACTGGAACCCTGGCTCAACCCGTCGTTTCTTGGTTCCGTGATTCCTCCGCGCTTCTTTGATATCTTGGACTCATCGTCAAGACTTCCACCCCGTCGCTCCCACGGGCCGTGCATTACTTATACGTGCACCCTGGCCCCTCCAACTTCATTCCACTTCACCCCCCCTTGCATCGGCCGTGCCTTGCCCTCTTTCCCGCTCTTCACCACCACCACCCACTTTTCGCCTTTTTGTTTGAACCATGCGTTTCTCCGCCGTCGTCCTCTTCACCGCGCTCTTTGCGCTGCAGACCGCCGCCACCGAGTTCGCCGCGCCTGTACGCGTCCCTGGTTCAAGTTACCCGCCGTCCTCTAATCGTTGACTGTTTCCAGGACTCGGACATCGCCGCGCGCGCTGCTGCGCCCGTCGCCGCTAAGAAGCCTGCTGCTGGTACGTTTCTGGACGGGAGCACGATTTACGCGCTGATATTCGCCCTCAAGCCCCAACACCGGCCAAACCCCCAGTCAAGGCTGCCGCGCCGGTCAAGGCTGCCCCCGCAAAGGCTGCTGCCCCCGTTAAGGCCGCGCCGGCCAAGGCCCCGGCTGCCCCGGCCAAAGCGCCAGCGGCCCCCGCGAAGGCGCCCGTCGCCGCGGCCCCCGTCAAGCAGCTCACGCCCGCGCAGATGGCCGCCATCATTGACAAGAACGGCTGCCCAAGTGAGTCGTCTTCCCCTCTGTAATTTAAACCCGCCCGCTTACTGGCGCAGTCAACGCACGACATGAGTGCTAGAGTACACAATAACGCAGTTATATTTATTTAATTTCACGGCCGTTAATAAATTTTTGTCTGATTTAACCGATAAATAGTGAGCCAGCTTAGTCCGAGACTAGACCATATTCGCAACCCCTTCCCACGAAATCATTTCCGTTTCCTGTTGCTACGGCCGCAAATGGTGTGTTACTGATCGTGACATTGTTGCGCCACGTCCCGCCCTTCGTGCGCCGATTCCACACCCTTCATCACATGCTTATATTTCAGACATAATTAACCAGCGCCTTCACATTATATATGCTATAGCACTTACTTCACATCGAATTTCTACCTTTTGTATGGTATAATTTACAGAAAACCAGCTCCCTCAACGCGCCATATCCCGACATCAGAGTGAGTTTGATCGAATTGCCGTTTATGGGGGCATCCAAATTTTGGCGTGTGGAGCATCAAAAACGAGAATATGCCTTTGCCGAGGGGTTGCGAATATGGTCTACTATGGACGAGTCGGGGTCGAAGTTGGGCAGCCTGACGTCCCCGGGGATGCCCTTGATGATCTTCTTGCACGCCGCGCACGCGCCGGGGACCTTGGTGTGGCACGTGTCCGGCGCCATCGGCATCTGACCCACCGGCGGTGGCATTCCGATCCGGCCCGCGATTGATAGCGGTGTTCCGCTCAGCGGCGCGTCCCCGATGTAGCAGTTCGGAACGAACAGCTCTGGGTTCGATTGGGCCTGCAACAAGCATCAGTCATGGGGGTATATAAACAAGAAATACGCACCAGTAGCCCGAAGAATGCATAATTCTGCGGATTCCGCTTTTTCTGCTCGAGCGACAGCTCGTGCATGATCTGCTGGAAGCCGTACGCGCGGTTCCCGCTGCCGCCGCGCTCGTCGATCAGGTGGTCAAGCGTGGGATCGTCCAGCAGCGGATCGGAATGTTGCACCTCATGCACGATCGTGAAGGCTAGCGGTGGTGCGGGCACCTGCCCAAACGTGCCAACCTGCATCACAGGGAAGCCGTCCGTGATTTGGCCCGACGCATGAATGCGTGCGGCGGCAACTGTGTAAGACTCGAGGTTCTGCAGCAGGATAAGGAGACCGGAAGACAGTTCTTAGAGTACGACTCACTGCGAGTCCTGTGGGAGACAGCCGAATGAGGTTTAGCACCTCTTTCATTCTGCCGACGTTGATCGTGTTTGCATAAGCAGCCGCAGCTTTCGGCGCAGTCGGCGGGATACACGTGAAGATGAGGTCCGTCTTGCTGCCCTCATACATCTTCGTCGACGCAATCTCGTCAGGCGCGCCAAGCTTCAGGACAAACGAGAAGTGCTTCGTGATTAGCGCGGGATTAACGGTCGAGCCGCCAAAGATCCAGAAAAAGCCGTTGCTCTTGTTCATATCCTTCGGCGTGAGCAGCGCAATCGCGCCAGCGGCCATGTTGCGCGCATCGGTGATGCCATTGCGGATAGCCGTCACCTGCGCAGGGGAGCACTTCTCGTCGTCGAAGTTGCCGTGGGGTGGGTTGGGCGGCGTGCCAGCAAGGATGTGCACGTGGACGGCTTGTGTTGAGGGGTCGAGATCGAGGTCGAGTCCGGAGAGGTCGAGCGATGGCGGTGTCGAAGAGAGAGAAGGGAGCGAAAAGGAGAGCAGGAAGCTGACGACTGAGTGTGCAATCGCGCGCATTGTGTAGCGTAGGGCGTACCAGTTACGAGTCCGCACAATTGACGTCCCGACTCTATTTATACGACCCCTAGATTCGGAGGAAGACAGGAACGTTCCGTTCTGCGTCCTTGTCCCAGATTTAGCCTAGCCACCCCGCGCTGACGTGCGTCTGGCGCTAGGGGCGGCCCAAACGCCGGTGTGCCGTCGAGCCGAGCATTGAAGGCGCTGGCTGACGCGCAGCATGCTCGTGGAATGCAGCGGGGACAGCGCTCTGGCGTCCGCCAACATGAAACGACGGTGTAAGGAACATGGTGGATCAGAAAGAAAAAGAAGCGACGTGGCGGTGCTGCGAGCTCGTTGATAGATTGATGGGCGTCGGTTCGAACCCCAGTTGATGTCGCTTTATAATATGAAAACACCTTTGCTATCCCCGAACTTGGACTCCGGCTTACCTGCAGCTTGCACAAGCAGCTGTGTGAGTAGGCAATGGCATGCGTAGGCCCAACCCATAGGTAAGACCTACCTATGTACCCTTACTCTAGGTTAACTCCCTGTGGACCAGGGGTACTAATCAGGGAATTCACCAAAGTCCTTTTCAGAACTTTCAGGCCTTTTGAAAGGCCTAAAAGGACTAAAAGGCCAGGAAAAGTGCGTAGAAGGCAAAAGGTCTTTTGGCCCAAAAGGTATCAAAAAGGCCAGCCAAAAGGCCCTAAAAATGCTCTTATATATCACGGTGTACAGGTCCTGTGAAGCAAAGCTTGTATGCATCTACTGATAAAACAACATGTAGCTGGCCAACATCCATTACCAGTCACACCGCATGCGTGCGAGCTCGTGCTTGTTCCATCGCCGACACACTGCAGCCTCGGGCGCGTAGCCGGCGCCCGGTACCTCGTCCGCGCTCGTCTAGCTCTCCTCCGCAGTCAGCCCAGTCGAAACACCAGCGCCAAAGTCCCCCTCGTCGCCGAAACTGTCGGCATCGTCGTCCATCGCACAATTGCCACCCTCCGAGCCATGCCCGAGCTTCAGGTTCGAGCCCTTGTCCGTGCCGACAGAGTATTTGAGCTGCGGATGATCAATGAGAAAAAAATACATGCTGCACACAAGACAACGCACCGCTAGATGTGCTTGAGTGAGCTGGCAGTCAGCGTATCAGCGAGATCTCCCCGCGACGAACGATGGATGACGCACTGCTCAAAATCGACGTACGCCATATGCACGCGCTCGCATATGACCAGCGCTGGCCCCAGTGCCGCCCCACTTGTAGCTGCTTGAAAACTCTGCCAAGTCGGATGTTGCCGTGTCGCGCGCCCGTTCGCATTCGTGTTTATGTTCGCGTTGTAGTGGTTGTTGGTGCATGCAGGAATGCAGGAATGACTTGAGTTAACGACTTGCGCGTTTGAGACAGGACTTGCGCGCTTGAGAGGATTTGGAAGATGACTTTGAGTAGCTTGTCATAGGCTTTTGACTTGCAGAGAGGGCCAGACTACAAGAGGAGAGCGCAGGAGATGGTGGGGGAGGAAGAAAAAGGGTGGGAAGAAGTGGGCTCATTTTGCCGAAGAAGTTTGATGATGACGCTATTTCTTCCGATTAACTCAACATGTCCACAATGTGGATTTCGGAAGTACTTTTGAAAGGCCGAGAAGGCCTGAAAGGCCCACAGAAGTGTTAGCCAAAATATGAAAGGCTAAAAGACCTTTCAGAAGGCCTCGCAAGGCCTCCGGAAGGATTGGTGAATTTCCTGATGCTACATAGTCATGCATTTGTTTTAAACTATGCATCTATTGAAATCCATAGGTTTCCACTAACTTTCAACTGCATATGAGTAGGGCCTGTGCACCTGTTAATCCCAATTATCCCTTCAAATTAGAATGGACAACCCACCTGGGCATCCATTCTAATTTGAAGGGATGATCTCCAAGTTCCTATACTGCAGTAAAGGATACAATAAAACTGCAGTAAAGTTGCAATATTTTAGACAAATTTTTTGATTAAGTTATATTTACTGCTCTATTAGGACTAGGTACCATCACCCAATCAGACTTGCCAAAAAAGGAAATTTTACGCGGACCCATATACCAGAAGAAGACAACTCATAACAGTATATACTCAGATCAGCTCAGATCACAACTACCCAAAAAGGAAATCTTACAGAACAGAACCATCAACCCGAAAACTCTAGAGTATATTACACTTCTTGCTTCTTGTCATCAGTACCAACTGCTTGTAACGGTACACTTACTCTAGCACACACACACACGCACACTCTTTTCCCTTACATATTTCTGCTTATGTTCCATCACTTGTCCCTATTCTATCCTACCTTTTCCTCTTGATGATCTACGATACATAATCCACCTTATATACCGATGTCCGTAGTTAGCGATCCCTCGGTCAAATCTATCCTTACACCACTCACCTCGCTCGTCCAACCAACGAGAGCATCTCTCTTCTGAGATGCTCAGTGCTCTTACGAGCATCAACCCCACCTCGGTGGGTGAGTCTGTCGCTCCAGCGGTGACGAGGTCCTCTTCGGAGGGTTCCCTTGGCGCCCTTGGCGCCGAGGAGACGACTGTTGCTCTTGGCGTCAGTGAGCCGTCGACGTTGACGACTCTGGTTTCAACTGAACAGAGTCTTTCGGATCCTGACGAGGATGCCGAAGAAGGGGGCTGGACCCCTGTCGTTCGTAGGTCGCAATCTGGCCGAAGTAAAACTAGTAAAAGTGAATATACCAATTCTGACACTCACACTCGTCAAGCTTCGCCGGAAAGCACTATCGAGCGCGCCATTAGCGGCTTGAATAAAGAACAAATGGCTGCCTACGCTCGTTGTCTTGAAGCTTACTCAGCCCAAATGTGGGCAACAGTTCGCCAAATGGATGAAGGCAAGGAAGCTGATGTTGCGTCACGGATAAGACCCGGCCCGTCCGCTCCGGCGCTGGTGTCGGGCCATCGCGGGCCCGTAGCATGCAGCACGTGACGACGGGGAACATGCGCCCCAGTAGGAGGAACGCACACGTGGGAAGCACGTGACCGAGAACTACGCGTCGAGCCGTCGCCAAGCCCAACTCGACACAAGGGGACTGGGGAGGAGTGCTAGGAGGTTAGGAGTAGCGCCTGGCCCGCAAGGGATGTACGATCGTCCCCTCTGCGGCCAGGAATGGGAGCGAGGAGGAGGAGGAGAGGCCAGGGTGTCCGATCACCCCCTTTGCGGGCCCGCGTATATAAGGCGCGATAGCGTACCCTGTACTCTATCGCTTAGATCGTCTGAAGAACTACCTTACTCCGTGCAAGGAGACGTTATCGACTCACCGGGCCTAACACGACCCGATTCGAACCTTTGACCACCGACCACGGCAAGGGACCAAGTTCACGGGCCCTTTCGGTTTCGATCTACCCCGCCCGCCGTACCTGCGGGCCCGACTATCCGTCTGTTCTGTTCCGGGCGCGCATTCTTAGGAGAGGTCCTTGCATGGCCCGACCCGCAGTCTGACAGAATCTAAGCGATCCCCTTATGCCTGCAACAGAATGGACACTACCACCGTCATTGCGCTCCCGGCGTGGGCCACGATAGTGGCTATCATCATCGCCTCCCTTGCCTACCTATATAGACGTACCCTCGAAGCCCAACCCATGGTCTTCGACTGCGTCCTCTACGGAAGAAAGGAGCCCGCCCTGAAGTGGGGCACCCCTAGGCGGGTCTCCATGGACGAACACCACCGGCATATGGAACACGCCTGCCCGGCCTATGGTGCCGGGCCCGCTGCGAAGCGCCGACGCCTCAACAACTCACCACCCCTCCCCGCGTACGGCCGGACCCCGATTCGAATAGTTTCGGACCGCCCCACGCCACCGGCACACTCTGCTTGAAGAAATGGGGTACACCCCGTTCAGCACAAAAGCCCTGGGGGCTATCCTTATTCCTCTCATAATCTGCTCTATTTAACCTTTGGCGGGGCCTCTGTTCCCCTAATAATAAATCTCTTTTCCCCCGATCACACACCGAATGAACGCAGGACTGTCGATTGATTGCAAAAATAATACAAAAAAAGAGAGAAAAGAAAACAAGCGGGAAAAGACACGAGGGGGGGAGTCCGAATCGTGGCAAGGGAGTCCTATGGAACCGAGGAAGAGGGGCCGACACGACGAGACGCACGAACAAAGAAGGCAAGGAAGACGTCGACACCCGAGTACACGGGGCAACTCCGGCTGGCTTCCTCGTCCGGGAGGCGGTCGACGACCCGCCGAGCTTAGTCCAAGTCCATCATCTCGAAGCTCAGGCCGTCCCGACGGCACACATCCGCATACAGCTCTCGCTCGGCGGCCCGACATTCCAAACCCTCCGGCGTCTCCCAGAATCCCGATCTCTCGCCTTCAGACCGGTGAATGGCCAAGAGGATGGCGCCCAAGTAGCGGCACACGTCGGCCACCTCCCGCGATATGATCAGAGACTCCAGCGAATTCACCAGCCGGAGGTCTGCGTCCAGGGAGCGCATCGACGACAACTCCGCAAGCGCGCGGGTCCGAGCATCCGGGAAACCCCTGTCAGCCGAACGGACGGCCAACTGTTGCAACAGCAGCACGCCCAACAGTGACAGACGTTGATCGGCGGGCACGGACAGATCTCCATGCAACCGGCGAGACTCGGCAATAGCCCAATCCAAATCCCACTCCCTCCCGAACCACAGGGAAACTCGGGGGAACGACGGCACCTGGAAACCCATGGTGGGATAGGAAGGGGGACGGGTCTTACCCGCCGAAACGTACGGCCGGGACGTCGACTCTCCTAACGAGTGATCGGGTACAGGAGAGATCGGTCGGCAGAAGTTGGGGCGAGGTCTCGGCAGGGGCCGACTTGACAATGGGAGGGGAGACGGCGACCGAGTGCGAACTCGCTTTCGCACGGGAGATGGGGAAGAGTCCCGAGAAGAACCTGACAACGGAACGATGGGGCGGCAACGACGGCCCGAAGAAGGGCCGACCACCGGTGATAGGCAGGCAAATAGACCACGCCTAAAATCGTCCTAAACACTG